AAAAATATACAATTGTTACATGGCTACAGATCCTTTACATCAAAGGGTTAACTAAAAAAAAACTACTGTAAATTGTTCTGCAGTCTGGAAATAAGAATTAGAGTCACAAATCTTTCCACACTTTGTCTCTGCTATCAGTTTTATATCAATCATCTAATAGTAACAGAAATATGTAACAAACAATCACTATCTTTACATTATTTACATAAATTTGAATAGAGGTAGGAGTCATGGACGTGATCTGCATAATAGAAATAGTTTTTCAGTTGTAAACATTGCTTTCTCATTGGCATTTTTCCTCATTTAACAAATTTCAAAAAATATATGTGGTTAAATAGATTAAATAATTTCATAAAGAAATTCAATTTGAGAAAACTGAGGAACTCAACTCCATTTACTTCAACTTTTCAGCTAGCTAATTCTTTCAACTTCAAAGACTGAATCCTTAAAGCTCTGGGGGATGGTCTGGAGAAAAATGAGATTGTACTAGTCAAGGGGACTGAATGCACGACTTAAGTCAAATGCACCTGCAAGTTTATAGCTGCTTGCCTTTGACCTCCACTGCACTAGATGTTCCCCAAAGAGAAATCCTGCTTCCCAGAAGAAGGCTCTTCCTGGTCTCATTGCTCAGGATTTTATAGTATGTCCAAATTGCTTAGTATTTTGTGTGCATTTCTTCCAGACTTCAAAAGGCAGTCTCCTGGCCTTAAGACATTGTTATTTTAGGGGTTCATCTCCACTTCAAAGCATCCAAAATAATGAGGGCTTGTGCTGCAGCGCATGAAAGCGGAACCAAACTGGTATCCTGCATGTGTGGCAAAAGGCATGGCAGAAGGAAATGGGGAAGTGTTCGGGGGGAAAGGGCCATTACAGCTGAAACAGTGACACAGGACTGTGCAGCACTGGAAGGCTAAATGAGTGGTTTTACTGTAACAGCTACAGGGCATATATCTGAATAATTGCACCTGGGTTCCATCTCAAACAGAGGCAGCTCTTTCACTTCAAGAGATGGTTGGAAAGAACTAACACACAGTAAAGTGTGTGTGTTCACTGCATGAGCACCCAGAAGCTAATGAGGGATGTAAATTATCCTCTGCAAGTCATGTACCCTATATTTTCATGAGGTTAAAAATGGCTTCAGTAACAAGTTTTTATGTGCAACACTGAATGATATTTCACATAGTAAGATATTACCTAATTCTTATATTAATCCTCTTTTTAAGTACATCTATTATTATCAGATTATAGGCATCAAAAAAATGAAATCATAGTTTGAAAACAAAGTTGTGTAGTTTGCCAGATTTCAAAACTGGTCTAGGCCTTTGTATTTCAGTTTACATTCACAGATGGATCATCATAACAGGTAAGCCCAAACTATTCTCTGGTATCTCCAGGTTCTGCAGGCCCACTGATGACATTATTACAGTACAGAGCAGATAGTGTCATATATCCTTCTCCCTCTTAAACTGGGATGAAGAGCAGTACCTTCTTTTGTTGTTGTTTAAAAAGTCAACCAACCAAAAGATCCCCTAAAAGTGTAAATTAGGAGCAAGTCTGTGAGCAAGGTTAGGAGCATGGCTGTGAGCAAAGTAACTGATGAAGTTCTTAGTAATTAGATAAACAATTTTTTACATTAGTAATACACCATTAAATTAATCGGCTACTAAAAATTACAGTGGATATGTATGCAAAAATTACAGTGGATTATGTATTAATCATCAAGTCACATCTTTGGTTGGGGGTGCCTCATTCAGTTGTGTTCATTACTGTAAAATTGGTTAGATAGGGAGGCTAATTGAAGTATCAACGGCCTTAAAAAGAATAAGGCCAATGTCAAAGCACAAAAAAGAAGCAGTTCATAATTACTTGACTTTGTTAGTAGCCCACTTTTAAATGAAATCTTTTAAATCACCAACTTACGCCAGCTGCCTTGTCCAAAGATGAAAGTAGTTTTTCAAGTACTGCATGTGATCTGGTTGTACACCTGTAATGACAACTGCTGTGAAACTCTCTTTATCCCTTTCTTCTAATATTAGATTATGAAGAAATCTTTCATCATCACTTGTGACGTGAGTAGAATCAGATGGCTACAAAAAAAGTAAAATAATAAGAGCAGGGATGAAAATTGAATTTCCAAACTCCCATCAACTTGAAAGGGATTAAAAAACATAAGAGAAAAGTAATACAGAACACATGATGCTAAGTATCACAAAGGATTAAAGCTTAAAATAAAGGTTTCCAAATTAAAGTCAACAAGCTGAGGATGTGACATCACTAATCCAGTTAATTTTCAACTCACTTTCATCACAGCACCTAAAGTGTGCCGTCTAAAAATGCATTTAATCACACTGAATGTAGCACTGTGTAATATTCATGTTCTCATCCATCAAGTGGAAGCATTAAGAGGGCAAGACATTAAGGCCTCTTTAAGAAAACAAAGCCAAAAAAAGTTATTGGCTTTTAAAGGGATAGGCTACTTTCTATAGCAGAAACTCAAGAAGAAGAAACAGTTTTGTTGTAAAAGAAAAAAAGGTGAATCCTCAATTCCAGATGAAATGTCAAGTAGCCTAACAGAAAGAGAGATTCCCCATTCCAGAAACTACTGACTGTCTTTTCCTGAATGGATGCACTTTGCTCTTTTGACAGTTTTCTAAAGTGCAGGAAGACACAGTGGTTGATGCCATGCTTCACACTGGACCAGTGAGTAATGCCTTACATTTGGTACATCCAGAAAAAACCCCTATTTTTAAGACAAAGATTAAGATCTTTCTAGTGAATGCAAACAATTGCTACAACTGAGAAGATATGTTGTAGTAAATGCAGCTACTGCATTTCCTGCCTTATTTTGCAGGAAAGCAGACAAACCCCACATCACTAAGGCATGAAAGGAGACATGTCCTACCCAATCAGTTAGGTGAAATAGTTAAGGGTGTTCTATCAAGACTTACTTTCCCCAGGGAATCAAAGAGCTCTCCTTAGCTAAAATGATAATTAAACAATTTTTGAGACTTTTTGTCAAAGAAGACTACATCTCTTTTTCCTGCCCACAGCATAGCCTGGACTATTCTATGCTAGTGATGGGATTGGCAATAATGAAGAAAAGCCAGAGCTGCTTGGTCCTCATCCCCATGTGATCTGACAAACCTAGAAGCTGCACACTTATGCTGAACAAGTGCCACTTTGTACATCATGGAAGAAATTTAGAGACCAAAAGAGCCTCCAAAATATCACTGCCAAATTATCTGGCTGCCTTCCCACTACAGATTACAAACTACCATGGCACCTTCCCCTACATTCCTAGCATCTATCTCAACTAGAAAATAACTATTTACTTATTTGCAATATTCAATGGTCCAGAGAAATGACTGCAGTGAAGAGAGGTGACTACTACCCATCAAGCAAAGATGACCAGCAGGGATACCATTAATATCGCTTCTCTTTAGTGTTATGGCCTTGTTCTAAAGTTCTTTTTGCTTCACATTAATTACACCTTAATTTCTTTGCAAAAGTAACTTCCTTCACCAACTGAATGGCTCAAAGGCTCAATTATTCTTCTCACACTAGTAATCCATTTACAATTTCTACTTCTGCCACAGTATTCTCTTGCTGATGTATGTGCAGTGCAGATCATTTTTCAAGTCTTTAGCGAGATGCATTCACACATTTTATTTCACACCAATATAATGAACTGGCCTAGGTATTTCAATGATTTGCAAAAAAAATTCCTAAATCTGGGTTTTAGGAATCTTTTAGGGAAACCTCTATTATCTTCATACCTCACTTCTATTACTTTTCACATCATCTCCTCCCTCTTGGATAGTTACAAGTTATCTTTTTAACTCTAAATAGAATTTTACTTGCATTTTAACACTGTCAATTTAACTGTTAATTTAATATAAAATATGATTTTATATTATTACCACAACATTTCAAACAGTTGATTGCGCCAGCTTCTTGAACTCTTTAGCAGTACCTATGCATCTCATTCAGCTACTTTCTTCCGACTTAGGCGTGCCTTAGTTTGTCTTCTACTTTGTATCATCCAACCTTGCTCTTTAGTATCAAGCAGGGAGGGAAAGCATTTGTACCCTTTACAATGAAGCAGATTTTGTAAGCTTTTATTTTCAGTTTCTATTTTTTGAGTCTGATATTGTAGAGAGAATAAAACCAAAACTGGCAATTCATTTTTTTTTGCAACTCACTGACCCAGAACTGGCACAATAAAAACCTTATTTACCTACTGTTCCTTTCTCATCCATATGAAACACCAAGAAGACTGATATAACCCACAAGATATGGGCTCAAGGTCTGACTACCTTGTCATACGCACCACCATTTTCCCTCCCATCTGCACCCTTAGCTACATCTTGGCCTCTCCCTCCTTGCCCAAAAATGTCCAAAATCCAGTTCTTTTCAATCTTCCTCCTTATCTTACAGATTTTTTACTTAGGCTCTTTTTCTTCATGAAAAGCATCAGGACTGTTGAGTTTAGCTTTCAGCTAAACAGTTCATTTATTTTACAACATGTATGAATACTTATAAAATCAATCGGTTTTGTTGGTCTGGCTGGACTTCTTTCCCGTATACAGGTCAGTCATACATATTTCTAAACAAGTACAATTTGGTTCCCTAATTCATTCCTTACTGCTTCAGAGAAAATTCATTTTTGTTTCATACACAACAAAAAAAATTGCTGTGCTTAGAAAAGTATTTTAAAGTATTTTTCTTAACCTGACATGCAAAACTGTAAAGCATTTCTGTCATTTAACCTTAACTGAAAAGAGGAAAAAGCATCACATAAAAAATAAGGCATAAAATGTCTTTCCTTTTACAACACTACAGGGTGCAAATGATTCACTAAGGAGAAGATATCTCCAGATAAGTATTACAGGAATATTACACAGTTAAATCACATTAACCTGGGAAAGGCTTTCAATTATAAATGTGAGAATCTTAAGGCTATTTACCTTTCTGTTTTGAATGAATCCAGTATATATTGCTTCTTTGTTTTTCTCCTTCTTTTCAAAATCCTCTTTAGAAAGGACAAGTTCATGAACATCCTGAGATGCTGCAGGTTTGCTTATCATCTGATTTTATTAAAGAAACAGCATTTAAAATCAAAATAAGACTTAAAATTAACATAATAAAATACTTTAATGCTGTGATTAAAAATTAGGAAGTAACAATCTGATTGTGTGCCAACATTCTAAAATAAAATTAAAGTCAGACATTGACTTACTCTGGCAGACTGTCCCACGAAGAACACTGCTTGCTTGCCTCCAACTCCAAAATACGAGATATCACTATTTAAACTACGAGGCACTGGCAGAGGGCGTACATATCCTGAGTGATCACTGAGAATAAGAGTGTCTTTAATAAATTTTTTCAAGACAAAAGTAATTAAAAAAACCCAAAGATACTTTTGATCTAAAGCTTCTACTAAATTCTTCCTCCTGGCATTTTGGTAAAAAATTCTTCACTTTATACATTTTAAAACTGCAAGCTTAAAACATATGTGCCTGAAATTCTTGATGTACTCTTTTTAAAAGGATAATGACAGAGTAAGTATTTTCCCAACTCATCTTATAAAACATTTCTGCCCCCTTCTCACAAACCAAATCTTACTAAATAAAAATGGCTTAAAAAGCAAGCCTCATTTTTCTGACAGCATCCTTTCATAAAAATACTTTTGAGTCAAAGTGAAAAATAATGCCAACCAACTATTAAATGGAGACTTGGAGAGATAACATATGCTATCAGTAGTGAAATTCCATGCCTTCTAAGTCACCTTGAACAGCCTTATCTAGTTTAGGAAAATGTTTATTTTTAAATCACAGCAGTCCCAAATGAAAATAAGGTGTAGATAATTTAGACCTCTGTTTCAATTAAGTGGTAGTAATCTACAGTTTAAATCTGCATTTTAGGAATACTAAATTTACTAAAGTTGCCTGCAGCAATTTCAAAAACATTGAGTTTCTTTACAAGTGACCCAGAATCACTTTTTATGCACTTATCTCCAAATGCTTAAAAGACATTCACTTTCTATTTGGAGATGTTTTCAATTCCCCCAGCTATATTATCACTTCCCACAGCTGTATTACTTTTTACACTATCTGCTCATATGACAAATTAGTTATGACTGAGACTGTAATTATCATCTTCACATTTACAATCCTAGGCTTAAGGTATTAAAATGTGACCAAAGCTCAAAAACTGTACATAACTGATTTTGTGGAATTTTATACACTAGGATTAAGCCTGGCACCACACAACCTCCACTTTCTTCTTTAAATGCAAAACATGAATTTTGTGTAGCCTGCATCAAAAAATAGACATCTCCAGGTATAATTTATAATACATTATACAGAATTAAAATTTAAACTAAAAAAAGAAAATTTGAACTAAAACCACCTGTTTTGCAGTAGCTTAAATATTGAATGTATCCTTTAATGCACCACTGAAAGGTTTTCAGGTAAGAGATGAACATGGTACAAAAACCCCTTGCAGGACATAGCACGTCCCAAACTGTATGCAGGCAAGCAAAAGACAGTTTAGAAAAGGTCCCAAAACCAAAAAAGTATTCAGTGTGTCACAAGAATAGAAGACCAGTTTTGTGTCATAACGCTTCTCTATTGCCTACTTTAAAAAAGTATGGGTCTATTTAGGTAATCATAAAATGACAGGGTTTAGCTGAGTGTTGGTATACAGCTATGCCTTAAGAACATATTTTATGGACCTTTGCAGAGCTTGCTAATTGTTGTAGAAATATATAGAACTTGCTAACCTTTCAGAGTCACCTTGTCTTGTAAACTTTGACAATCTATATACAGCCCAGTTGTTAAGCTGTTTAGAAGCCATTCCACTTCCATTATCAATCACAGCAACAGCTGGTTTTCCTTGGGAATCATCAAACAGCTGTTGGGAGAAAAACACACAGCACAAATCAACAAGGAGCAACAGGGAAAAGAAAGGATAATGCAAACTATGTCTGAAAACACTGAAGTATTTTTATCTTACCAATTTTATCTGTATACTCCGAATGCCAGTATTTTGACAGGTAGCTGATAGAGAATTGTCAATCAATTCAGCAAGGGCAAATGCTAAAAAAATTGACAAAAAAACCCTATTAGTGCTCAGGAAACAGACACCCACTTATAGTAGTTTCTTTCAACAATTAGGAAAACACATTGCCTAAACACAGACAAGACCTAAGCACAGTCAGAACAATCAAAATCACATAACATCTTGTTTAAAAAAATTAAACAGCTTTTCTACATGTACTTTATGATTTGTTTTATCACTAAGTCTCTCATATCTCTTAATGGCAATATCACAATTATTAGAAAGAACAATGATAAACTAACCATCTCCTTAACAAAAGACAGATTTGTCCCTTTCATGATTAGAAATCAATTTTTATGATGCATATGTGAGTCAAAAGTACATAAAAATAGACTCTGACTTGTTAAAATATTGAAGGAAGAATGAATTAACTGAAGAAAATTGAATTGAAATTTTGTGAAACATTTAAAACTGCAGTGTTAATTTTTTATAGAAAACAAAGAAAATTGTAGAAATGGTTGAAGGATTTCAGTGAATGGTAAATACAACCAAATTTCTGTCAGATCCATATTGCAATACACTGCAGAAATAGTCAGGCAAACTGTTTGCAGAGATTTGTTGTTTCTAACCATTAATGTTTGGAGCACTTACCTAATTAAAGTAAAACTACCTATGTTTACTGGAAAATTGCATTTAATCTGAAAAAAATACATCAAATTCAGATTAACTCAATCTGACTGACCAGCTTTAGTGAACAGACATTTCCAGTCGGTCTCTTTAAAAAGGAAACCTTATTGCCTACAATTTGCAGAGTTCTTCAGAATGCTACAGTGCAATTTACACTGGCCCCACACTTCAGACATGTAAAAGAAAGCCCTTGAGTATCAGTGCAACACAGCAACACTGAAGCACATGGCATTTTCCCTCAAGGGGTTATCGAAATACAAAAACCGTTCTGCACTTTTTTGCAACTTTCTTCATTGCAGAATAGTTGTGCATCTGTTATGTGATCCATCTTTCCTATTCCATAGCAAAGAACAATGGCCCTTCATCAACATTCAGAATTGGTTAGGTATTGGTTTAGTACTTCAGTCTTCCCCATGTCAGCTGCCCCTAGACCTCCTCACCTCACATTTCATTTATTTAGGGTGCAACTTTTTTTGTCATCCTTTTCTAATGTATCTGTAAAACCCATATCATCCCTCCTCCCATCCCTTGCCAAATTTGCTCCAGCTGTGCCTTAGGGTTCCTGATCTCATCTGTATATTCCCAGGCAACAGCCCTGTATTATCCTCTAGCTTGCTTGCTAGCTATTATTGCTACATTATTGTCTAGCTTGCTATTATTCTATCGCTTGCTTCCACCAGCTGTGCAATTCTCTCTTGTGTTTCAGTTTGACCAGGAGGTCTTTACTCTGCCATGCTATTCTCCTGCCTTCTACACCCGATTTCTTCCACATAGAAATCAATAGTTCTTGTGCTCTGAAAAGTCATTTAAGCAACTGCAAGCACTCTTCTTTATCACCAAGGATGCTCCCCGGTGTCCCATGAACTGCACCCTTTAACATCCTTTAACAACTGAAAGGTCTTTTCTTAAGGTTTAGAGTCCTTACAATACTTTACACTTTCCTATTTAATCAAATTCCACCAGGGTGTGGTTGCTACAGATGAGGCCCAGCTTGGCCTTTCCAGTTTCTCCGTATTGGAAAGCCACAGGTCCACTACTGGCTGCTGGCAGGAATAAAGTGCAATCACAGATCTCCACAGAATGTCTGCTCTCAGTGGGCTTACACAGCAATTCCTGTGCACAGGGATGGATGTACCACTGACTCAACAGTACCACCAAACCCGAACCAAAATAGTGCCTTTGCTGGGGCATGGAACAAATGATGTGCACAGAGAGGAAAGGGGAAAGACTGGTCCTTAAAAATAACAGCTGCTATTTATAAACATTTTTTCATTGTTTTAAAACAACAGGAATGGTATCATGCTTGAGTCTTGATATTTTTTGAATTTTTTTCTGTGAAATTTTGAACCTGCCGTACCTGTGAACTACATAGTACTTAGAAGGTAAACACAGCCACAGACAGAATTTTCAAAGAAGCCATGAACAGAAAGTAATTTATTCAATAAAACAATACAAAATGGCGATTACATATTTCATGCACCACTTAAAAAAAAACTGATTAAAGCAGCATCTTTTTAAAGAAATACTTGCTCTTTTTGGTAAATTAAGCCCTGTAGCACCCCAGATGGGAGGGCACAAAACATTCTATAGTAGCTCACACAAAAACTGTTCATTAAATTCAAACACAAAGTCTACAGTTTAGTACAGGAGACAAAAACTTGATAACACAAATGCTGACCTGTCTGAATGACATGCACAAGATTATTCTGAAGAGCACTGCATCAGGCAACTTCTGCTCTCAAAACAAGTACGGGGTTAGCCCCAGGTAATCTGTGTATTGTCCTAAGCGTTGCCTGTTCAGCATTTAACAACAACATTTAAATTAATATCTTTTCACATTTCCAAGCTTTAGAATGCAAGTTTTCTCAAGTGACAGCTATATATATATATATATATATATAATTTTTTCCTATCATTTACAGACTTTGTGACAGAAGATACTTAGTATAACTGTTATCATACAAACTCATCAAAATCATGTTTGTGAAACTGAATTTGAAGCAATTCTTGGCAGACTATTACAGGATTTGTACTTTCAGTTAATTACTGTACATCATAGAGCACAAACAGTTATCATGTGACCTTTATGATCAATATAAGAAATAACTGTAATTATTTTGTCATCTAAGATACTTACTGAAGTTATCTTCTGTGATTTCCTTCCTATTTGTTGTGGTGATAACAAAGGTTTCATCAGAAGGTATGCCAAATGCCTACAAAAATTGAAGGTTATTTAGTTATGATAACTAAGTAGTCCAAAAACTATTCAGATACATTAAAACAAAAAAAGGCAAAGTCCATTTACTTTGTCACAAGCTATTGATGAGTAATCACATAATCTCTTAGAACACAGTGGAATTTAGGATCGTTTGTTTTCTCAATTTAACCAAACCTGTTCATACTAGGGTATGCTCTTTTAACTGCATAAAATAAAAATATGCTCTAGTGAGCAACAGGAATTTTAAGGAGGAAGAACTGTCTTATAGATAACCCACTTGAGGGCAGAGGAACAAGACTGTGAAATTACAACAACAGTTTTGATCTAGATGGTGTCCCATATTTGACTGCACTCCTGAGACACCAAACCAACCTAATATTTCTTAACATTGGATATTAAAGTCTTTGTTCTTCAATTATATCATACATCTAAAAAAATAAATTTCTTTCAGAAAAAATTCTTTACTGTTAAAACACTGAAGTTTATTTTTCTGAACCTAAACAATCTTTGCCACTTTGATGCCTTCTTCTGAATGTGTTTACTGTAGCTTTAGACTTTTTATCCTGCTTTCTACATGCATTTAAATGTTCTGCTTTTACTTTCATTTTTACATCCTGATGATCAACACTAATCTCTCCCAAAATAATAAAATAAATATCTGTACCTTCTCCTGCCTTTCCAATGTTTGAAACTCAAGTAAAATCAACCCTGGTCTCATCAAACTCCATCAACCCAGTCAGTCTTGCAGTGACAATTCAGACAAGTACTTTATGCACTTCCAGCCAGATTCTGCCCTGAAGGAAGCTCCAGCATTCTCTGCAGCAGCTTGCCCTCATCATTTCCCACATCTCTCTTTCCATCCCTATTACTCAGACTCATGAAAATAGTTTTAAACCCTACTTATGGTTTCATTAAGAGCCTACTTTCCATATTTCAGTTACTTTCTCCCTGTGACCACATTAAAGTTACAGTTATTATCCATCAGCAAAATTAGAAAAAAATGGTGAACTTCTCACAGTACTTGGTGCAAGTGAAACTAATGCAGATGACAGAGACTGATATTCAGACTTAAGAACCTGGAGTAATACTTTTTAACTCCTCTGAATTCAGATCACTTCAATTTTACCTCTCACATTACACAAATTTCCACACAGCAAATCTGTACAGGAAAAACTATAAAACTGCTCAGAGCAAGAAAACTAAGCATTAAAATATATGGATTTTAGAAAGCTAACATTCTACAGTGCCATTTGAGGTCAGTGGTTAATACAGAGTAACTGCTGAGTTTTACATTTGAAAGCACAGACAAGCTCCAGCTATAACTACAGCTTCCTTGTTTTCTCACTCTCCCAAAGGCTATTCTGCTCTCACACCCTTATGAAGAGTGCAATATTTACTTTAAGGCAGCAAGAAGTTAGGATCAGCTAGTGCAGGTACAAGGCAGCAGCCTGCTATGGAAGCAGGGGCAGCCTCATCCTTCTGGTCCTCCCCCCATTCCACGGGAGAGCCTCAGTTAAACCAACCCAAACAGCCTGGCAGGCTATGCTTTAATTTCCTGGGTGAACCCAGCATTTCAGCGTCCACTGGCAGCAGGTCCTTTCCACTTCACAAACTACTAGGTAGGCAGGTACACACACCAAGTTTGGCAGTCTGGACTGCAGATTACTGTTTTTCTTGTCCATGCCACAGTTTGTCAGGCCATATCCTTTGTAAACTTTGGGGATTACTCAGTTTGAATGCTTCACTTTTGTATCAGACTTACTTGTTTTACTCCCTCCCTCCCTCTCTCCTACATTCTTGGTTATCCTAGTCCCTGTCTCTTCCCACTATGCCAGGTAGCAGTGAAGCAGCTGCACTGCTGTGCCAGTATGTGGACCTGATTTCCAG